CCTCTGCGGCGGGCTTCCAGAAGCTGGGCCCTGGGGAGGGCCTCGGCGGCCTTCGGGACCACGTGGGAGCCCCTCAGAGCAGTCGAGTCCCCATGTGCCGCCACCAGAGTTTGGCAACTTTTATTGCGACGTTAGGCTGCTGAGCAACAAGTCGACCGTGGGACTCCACCCGCGGGCTTTCTAAACCAAACCAACCAAGTTGCCGTGGAGTCAATGATGAAAGAAAGCCCACGACTATCCAGTCTCTTCCCACCCACAGCGACCCTCCTCAGGAGCCCCGTGGTGCTGAGACGTTGGCGTTGGGCAGCTAACCGAAAGGTGGACGGTGCAAACCTACCAGAAGCTCCGAGGGAGAAAGAGGAGGTGCTCTGCCTTCGCAGGGTCCCTGCGAGTGGGAACCGACTAGATGGCCTTGGGGTCTGGAGGGTTGTTGTGCTGTAGCAGCCTCCTGGGGAGTGCTGTCTGGGAATCCTGAGGCAGCCACTCTGGCCTCCCCTGCCCTGCCCTGCCCTGCGGGCTTGCTTGAGTCAGAATGGACTGACTGTGGCCCTGGGGCTTTGTAGTAGTTTTAATCTTCAGCTGACTAAGAGCCCGGGTGGCACTGGTTTCAGCATTAGGCTCCATCCCTGAGGGTAACCAGCCAGGCTCCCTGTGGTAGGGAGAGTAGACTGCCTGCTCCCTTAATGACCACAGGCTCCCAAACCCAGTGCGGCCCTTGTGCTCTGTCCTAGAAGGTCACCGTGAGTCCAGATGGATTCCAGCGCAGGCGGGTTGGATTTGGGCTTGTCTAAGACGGACCAGAACTGTGCCGAGGGTGGCCCCGGCTGTGATCTTTATGCGGGGCAGATCCGATAGCCTGTGAGTAGGGCCGGGATGTAACCGCCAGTCCCTAGAAGCGGTAGAAACCCTGTGAGGCAATTCTACTCGCGTCCTGTTGAGTCACTGCTAGTCTGAATCACTCAAAACGACAGTGCGTTTTGGGTGGTTGTCATCATTGTTGCTGCTGTTGTCTTGCCATTTGCAGGAACCCCGGTGATGCAAAGCTTAAGCGCGCCACCACGAACCAACGGTTGGATGGTTCAAACCCAACCTGCAGCTTTGTGAGAGACAGACCTGCCAATTGGCTCCCATAAAAAGTATAGCCTACTATGCAACCACGAGGTGTCGAAGGGATCAGGTGTAAGGCATCATCAGAACAAAAAATCT